CCTCGCCAAGATCCTCGTCGCCGACGGGACGCGCGACGTCCCCATCGGCGCGCCGCTCTGCATCGTGGTGGAGCGTGAGCAGGACGTCGCGCTCTTCAACGACTACGTGGAGGCCGGCGCCGACGCCACCGCGCCAGCCAAGGTGTGTGCCGTGGTGGTGGTGGTGGTGGTGTGTGCCGTGGTGGTGGTGGTGTGTGTGCCGTGGTGTGGTGGTGGTGGTGTTGGTGGTGGTGGTGGTGGTGTGTGTGTGTGGTGGTGGTGTGTGCCGTGGTGGTGTTGTGTGTGGTGGTGGTGTTGTGTGTGTGGTGGTGGTGTGTGCGGTAGTGGTGGTGTGTGTGTGTGCGGTGGTGGTGCTGTGTGTGTGTGGTGGCGGTGGTGTGTGCGGTGGTGGTGTTGTGTGTGGTGGTGGTGTTGTGTGCGGTGGTGTTGTGTGTGTGGTGGTGGTGTGTGTGTGTGTGTGTGCGGTGGTGGTGGTGGTGTGTGTGTGCGGTGGTGGTGCTGTGTGTGTGGTGGTGGTGGTGTGTGCGGTGGTGGTGTGTGTGTGCGGTGGTGGTGCTGTGTGTGTGTGTGGTGTTGATAGTGGTGCCACTACTGCTACTGCTGCTGGTGCTGCTAAGTAAATTAAATGTTGTGATCTCCCGCCTCTGATCATTTTCCGATCGCCCCTCCCCCCCCTCCACCCCCCCCCCCTCCACCGCCCCCCGCCCCCCCCCCCCGCCCCCCACACTCGTGCACAATGCTCCACAGGTGGAGCCAGCGGCCCCCCCCCACTCCGCAGCGGCCCCCACCCTGGCTCAGCCCCCTCCCCCCTCCCCGGCGGCCCCCCTCGGCGTGGGGGGCGGCCGCCCCGTCCCGCGTCTTCGCCAGCCCCCTCGCCCGCAAGCTGGCCGCGGACAGGGGCCTCAACCTCGCCACCCTCAAAGGTCGGAGGGGTCGGGGGGTGGGGGGCCGGGTGGGGGTGGGGGTCAAAAGGTCGTGGTGGCGTTGCGGCCTTTGGTTTGCCCCCAGCGAGCGTGGAGCCGCGTGCTCGTAACCGGCCCTGCCGGAGGCAATGATCGGTGCAACCACATCGATGTCGACCCCACACGGTTCACTCCGTGTTCGTGTGTACGGGGACATTGAGTTTTCAGGTCCTTACGGCGTACGGCCGTTTCAACGTGGGCACACAAAAATAATGTCGTGTCTAAATTTAAATTTAAAGCTTTCGTGACTGCAGGGATTCATCTTCTTGGTTCTTTCGGTAAAGTCACGTAGAAGGGAAATAATAAAATAATAAAAATTAAACTAATATACTAATATAATATAATGACTTTATTATGTTTAACTTTTATTATTTTTATTTCCATTCTACGTGACTTTACCGAAAGAACCAAAAAAATGTCGTGTCTATTTGTGTTTCTCTCTTGTGGTGATGGAACTTTGTGGGATGAACGTTGAGATGTATAAGGGACACGGACGGGGTGACCAATAAGGTCTGGATTGGTCCGTGATAGGGTCGGGCGCTGACAAGGGGTGTGCACGCACGGTGCGGAAGGAGGTCGACGCAGACAAAACCGCGCCAATCCGCGGGTCTGCCCGACCGACAGAGCCACCATTTTGTCCGGTGCGGCCGCTCACCGCCGTGCAGTTTGCAAGGCCGGCGAAGCGCGAGGGGCTTGGTGCTCGGGACGCCACGCCGGGGGGGGGGGGGGGGTGTGAACAAAAAAAGGCAAAGATCCCCCGTGTAGCCTTAACAGACTGTTGGGGCAAGTGCTGTTGGCGAGTAGCACTTATTGAGGCCAACAAACAAGCACCACCACCGGACGCGGGAGCATGAGCGCCGTTTGGCACTCCGGCGCGAGTGTTGACACGTACGCACGTACGTCTGTACGTATGTATGCGTGCGTACGTCTGTACGTATGTATGCGTATTTGCGTACGTCTGTACGTATGTACGCGTATTTGCGTACGTCTGTACGTATGCGTGCGTACGCATGTACGTCTGCGCATGTACATATGTGCGTGCGTACGCACGTACGTATGTACGCGTGCGCACGTACGTATGTACACGTGCGCACGCACGTATGTACGCGTGCGTATGTGTGTGTGTTGAATTTCTTTTGCAACGTACACGTAGCCAGCGGTGCTAAATGGGAGTTGCGGGGGGGGGGGTGGAAGAACAACGAACCGAAGAAATGAGTTTTCAATTGATCATCGGGGTGTAGTGTAGCGTATAGTTACATAGTGTAGCGTGTAGTGTATAGTGGTGTAGTGTACAGTGTTGTGTGTAGTGTAGTCTATAGTAATATTGTGTGGTGTATAATGCAGTGTATAGTAGTACAGTTTATAGTAGTGCATAGTGTCGTGTATAGCGCAGTGTATAGTTTAGACTTTAGGCGATAGTAGTGTAGTATATATTGCAGTGCACTGTATTGTAATGTGCACCAGCAGTGTGTAGTAGTGTATGGGGTAGTGCACCAGCAGTGTGTAGTAGTGTATGGGGTAGTGCACCAGCAGTGTGTAGTAGTGCACGGTGTAGTGCACCAGCAGTGTGTAGTAGTGCACGGTGTAGTGCACCAGCAGTGTGTGGTAGTGTACGGTGTAGTGCACCAGCAGTGTGTAGTAGTGCACGGTGTAGTGCACCAGCAGTGTGTAGTAGTGCACGGTGTAGTGCACCAGCAGTGTGTAGTAGTGTACGGGGTAGTGCACCAGCAGTGTGTGGTAGTGTACGGTGTAGTGCACCAGCAGTGTGTAGTAGTGCACAGTGTAGTGCACCAGCAGTGTGTAGTAGTGCACGGTGTAGTGCACCAGCAGTGTGTGGTAGTGTACGGTGTAGTGCACCAGCAGTGTGTGGTAGTGTACGGTGTAGTGCACCAGCAGTGTGTAGTAGTGCACGGGGTAGTGCACCAGCAGTGTGTAGTAGTGCACGGGGTAGTGCACCAGCAGTGTGTAGTAGTGCACGGTGTAGTGCACCAGCAGTGTGTAGTAGTGCACGGGGTAGTGCACCAGCAGTGTGTAGTAGTGCACGGTGTAGTGCACCAGCAGTGTGTAGTAGTGTACGGTGTAGTGCACCAGCAGTGTGTAGTAGCGTACGGTGTAGTGCACCAGCAGTGTGTAGTAGTGCACGGGGTAGTGCACCAGCAGTGTGTAGTAGTGTACGGGGTAGTGCACCAGCAGTGTGTAGTAGTGTATGGGGTAGTGCACCAGCAGTGTGTAGTAGTGCACGGTGTAGTGCACCAGCAGTGTGTAGTAGTGCACGGTGTAGTGCACCAGCAGTGTGTAGTAGTGCACGGTGTAGTGCACCAGCAGTGTGTAGTAGTGTACGGTGTAGTGCACCAGCAGTGTGTAGTAGTGCACGGGGTAGTGCACCAGCAGTGTGTAATAGTGTACGGTGTAGTGCACCAGCAGTGTGTAGTAGTGCACGGTGTAGTGCACCAGCAGTGTGTGGTAGTGTACGGTGTAGTGCACCAGCAGTGTGTAGTAGTGCATGGTGTAGTGCACCAGCAGTGTGTAGTAGTGTACGGTGTAGTGCACCAGCAGTGTGTGGTAGTGTACGGTGTAGTGCACCAGCAGTGTGTGGTAGTGCACGGTGTAGTGCACCAGCAGTGTGTAGTAGTGCACGGTGTAGTGCACCAGCAGTGTGTAGTAGTGCACGGTGTAGTGCACCAGCAGTGTGTAGTAGTGTACGGGGTAGTGCACCAGCAGTGTGTGGTAGTGTACGGTGTAGTGCACCAGCAGTGTGTAGTAGTGCACAGTGTAGTGCACCAGCAGTGTGTAGTAGTGCACGGTGTAGTGCACCAGCAGTGTGTGGTAGTGTACGGTGTAGTGCACCAGCAGTGTGTGGTAGTGTACGGTGTAGTGCACCAGCAGTGTGTAGTAGTGCACGGGGTAGTGCACCAGCAGTGTGTAGTAGTGCACGGGGTAGTGCACCAGCAGTGTGTAGTAGTGCACGGTGTAGTGCACCAGCAGTGTGTAGTAGTGCACGGTGTAGTGCACCAGCAGTGTGTAGTAGTGTACGGTGTAGTGCACCAGCAGTGTGTAGTAGTGCACGGGGTAGTGCACCAGCAGTATGTAGTAGTGTGCGGTGTAGTGCACCAGCAGTGTGTAGTAGTGCACGGTGTAGTGCACCAGCAGTGTGTAGTAGTGTATGGGGTAGTGCACCAGCAGTGTAGTAGTGCACGGGGTAGTGCACCAGCAGTGTGTAGTAGTGTACGGTGTAGTGCACCAGCAGTGTGTAGTAGTGTACGGTGTAGTGCACCAGCAGTGTGTAGTAGTGCACGGTGTAGTGCACCAGCAGTGTGTAGTAGTGCACGGGGTAGTGCACCAGCAGTGTGTAGTAGTGTACGGTGTAGTGCACCAGCAGTGTTTAGTAGTGTACGGTGTAGTGCACCAGCAGTATGTAGTAGTGCACGGTGTAGTGCACCAGCAGTGTGTAGTAGTGTACGGTGTAGTGCACCAGCAGTGTGTAGTAGTGCACGGGGTAGTGCACCAGCAGTGTGTAGTAGTGTACGGTGTAGTGCACCAGCAGTGTGTAGTAGTGCACGGGGTAGTGCACCAGCAGTGTGTAGTAGTGCACGGTGTAGTGCACCAGCAGCGTGTAGTAGTGTACTGGGTAGTGCACCAGCAGTGTGTAGTAGTGCACGGTGTAGTGCACCAGCATTGTGTAGTAGTGCACGGTGTAGTGCACCAGCAGTGTGTAGTAGTGTACTGGGTAGTGCACCAGCAGTGTGTAGTAGTGCACGGGGTAGTGCACCAGCAGTGTGTAGTAGTGTACGGTGTAGTGCACCAGCAGTGTGTAGTAGTGCACGGGGTAGTGCACCAGCAGTGTGTAGTAGTGCACGGTGTAGTGCACCAGCAGTGTGTAGTAGTGCACGGGGTAGTGCACCAGCAGTATGTAGTAGTGTACGGTGTAGTGCACCAGCAGTGTGTAGTAGTGCACGGTGTAGTGCACCAGCAGGTGTAGTAGTGTATGGGGTAGTGCACCAGCAGTGTGTAGTAGTGTACGGTGTAGTGCACCAGCAGTGTGTAGTAGTGCACGGGGTAGTGCACCAGCAGTATGTAGTAGTGTACGGTGTAGTGCACCAGCAGTGTGTAGTAGTGCACGGTGTAGTGAACCAGCAGTGTGTAGTAGTGTATGGGGTAGTGCACCAGCAGTGTGTAGTAGTGCACGGGGTAGTGCACCAGCAGTGTGTAGTAGTGTACGGTGTAGTGCACCAGCAGTGTGTAGTAGTGCACGGGGTAGTGCACCAGCAGTGTGTAGTAGTGTACGGTGTAGTGCACCAGCAGTGTGTAGTAGTGCACGGGGTAGTGCACCAGCAGTGTGTAGTAGTGTACGGTGTAGTGCACCAGCAGCGTGTAGTAGTGCACGGGGTAGTGCACCAGCAGTGTGTAGTAGTGTACTGTAGTGCACCAGCAGTGTGTAGTAGTGTACGGTGTAGTGCACCAGCAGCGTGTAGTAGTGCACGGTGTAGTGCACCACCAGTGTGTAGTAGTGTACTGGGTAGTGCACCAGCAGTGTGTAGTAGTGCACGGGGTAGTGCACCAGCAGTGTGTAGTAGTGTACGGTGTAGTGCACCAGCAGTGTGTAGTAGTGCACGGGGTAGTGCACCAGCAGTATGTAGTAGTGCACGGTGTAGTGCACCAGCAGTGTGTAGTAGTGCACGGGGTAGTGCACCAGCAGTGTGTAGTAGTGTACGGGGTAGTGCACCAGCAGTGTGTAGTAGTGTACGGTGTAGTGCACCAGCAGTGTGTAGTGTACGGTGTAGTGCACCAGCAGTGTGTAGTAGTGCACGGTGTAGTGCACCAGCAGTGTGTAGTAGTGTACGGTGTAGTGCACCAGCAGTGTGTAGTAGTGCACGGGGTAGTGCACCAGCAGTATGTAGTAGTGTACGGTGTAGTGCACCAGCAGTGTGTAGTAGTGCACGGTGTAGTGCACCAGCAGTGTAGTAGTGTATGGGGTAGTGCACCAGCAGTGTGTAGTAGTGCAGGGGTAGTGCACCAGCAGTGTGTAGTAGTGTACGGTGTAGTGCACCAGCAGTGTGTAGTAGTGCACGGGGTAGTGCACCAGCAGTGTGTAGTAGTGTACGGTGTAGTGCACCAGCGTGTAGTAGTGTACGGTGTAGTGCACCAGCAGTGTGTAGTAGTGTACGGTGTAGTGCACCAGCAGTGTGTAGTAGTGCACGGGGTAGTGCACCAGCAGTGTTTAGTAGTGTACGGTGTAGTGCACCAGCAGTGTGTAGTAGTGCACGGGGTAGTGCACCAGCAGTGTGTAGTAGTGTACGGTGTAGTGCACCAGCAGTGTGTAGTAGTGTACGGGGTAGTGCACCAGCAGTGTGTAGTAGTGCACGGGGTAGTGCACCAGCAGTGTGTAGTAGTGTACGGTGTAGTGCACCAGCAGTGTGTAGTAGTGTACGGTGTAGTGCACCAGCAGTGTGTAGTAGTGCACGGTGTGGTGCACCAGCAGTGTGTAGTAGTGTACGGTGTAGTGCACCAGCAGTGTGTAGTAGTGCACGGTGTAGTGCACCAGCAGTGTGTAGTAGTGTACGGTGTAGTGCACCAGCAGTGTGTAGTAGTGTACGGTGTAGTGCACCAGCAGTGTGTAGTAGTGTACGGTGTAGTGCACCAGCAGTGTGTAGTAGTGCACGGGGTAGTGCACCAGCAGTGTGTAGTAGTGTACGTGGGTAGTGCACCAGCAGTGTGTAGTAGTGCACGGGGTAGTGCACCAGCAGTGTGTAGTAGTGCACGGTGTAGTGCACCAGCAGTGTGTAGTAGTGCACGGGGTAGTGCACCAGCAGTGTGTGTAGTAGTGTACGGGGTAGTGCACCAGCAGTGTGTAGTAGTGCACGGGGTAGTGCACGGTGCGTAGCCAGCCAGGCTCACCGGGGTGCCGGGTGTCCGCAGGGACGGGGCCGGAGGGCCGAGTGACGAAACACGACGTGGAGACGTTCGTGCCGCCAGCCACGACAACTCCCACCGTGAGCCACCCGGTGCATCACCCCCACCAGCACCACAACCACCACCACAACCACAACCACCCACCACAACCACCCACCACAACCACCCCCACCGCCATCACCACCACAACCACCCCACCGCCATCACCACCACCACCGTCACCGCCACCACCGCCACCACCACCCCCACCACCACCACCACCGCCACAACCACCACTGCCACCACCACGCCCCTCCACCAACGCCACCACCATCACTGCCACCACGACCACCGCCACCACCACCACAACCACCACCATCACCGCCACCGTCACTGCCACCACCACCACCGCCACCACCACCACCATGCCACCACCACCGCCACACCACTGCCACCTCCACCAACGCCACGACCATCACTGCCACCACGACCACCGCCACGCCACCACCATCACCACCATCACCACCACACCTCCACCACCACCGCCTCCAACCCCACCACCGCCATCGCCACCACCACCACCGTCACTGCCACCACCGCCACCACCACCACCGCCACCACCACCACCGCCACCTACACCACCCCCACCACCTCCACCGTCACTGCCGGCGTGGTGCTGGCCACCCACCTCCTCGTGTGCCACAGTGCCGGTAGCCTTCGTAGGTGCTGTCGCCAACAGCACTTGCCCCACCAGTCTGTTATGGCCACACGGGGGATCTTTGTCTCTGTCCTGTGTGCAGGCCGCAACGGTCGCGCCCCCGGCCGCCCCTCGCCCCGCCCCACGACGCGGCCGCCCCCTCGCCGGAGACTTTGTGGACATCCCCGTCACCAACGTGCGCAAGGGCGGGGAGGGTGAGGGGAGGGGGGGGAGGGGGGAAGGAGAGGGGAGGGGGGGGGAGGGAGAGGGGGAGGGAGAGGGGAGGGAAGGGTGGGGGAGGGGGGGAGGGGAGGGGGGGAGGGGAGGGAGGGGGAGGGGAGTGGGGGTGAGGGGGGGGGGAGGAAGAGGGGAGGGGGAGGAAGAGGGGAGGGGGAGGGGAGGGGAGGGGAGGGGAGGGGGGGGGAGGGGAGGAAGAGGGGGGGGGAGGGGGGGGAGGGGAGGGGCGACGCCGGACCGCCGGCGTTACGCCGATGCGACACCACGCCGTAGAGACCCATAGACTCACACAGAGACCCATAGACTCACACAGAGACCCATAGACTCACACAGAGACCCATAGACTCACACAGAGACCCATAGACTCACACAGAGACCCATAGACTCACACAGAGACCCATAGACTCGCGTAGAGACCCATAGACTCACACAGAGACCCATAGACTGCGTAGAGACCCATAGACTCGCACAGAGACCCATAGACTCGCGTAGAGACCCATAGACTCGCGTAGAGACCCATAGACTCACACAGAGACCCATAGACTCACACAGAGACCCATAGACTCACACAGAGACCCATAGACTCACACAGAGACCCATAGACTCACACAGAGACCCATAGACTCACACAGAGACCCATAGACTCACGCAGAGATCCATAGACTCACACAGAGACCCACAGACTCACGCAGAGACCCACAGACTCACACAGAGACCCACAGACTCACGCAGAGCCCCATAGACTCACGCAGAGACCCACAGACTCACACAGAGACCCATAGACTCACACAGAGACCCATAGACTCACACAGAGACCCATAGACTCACACAGAGACCCATAGACTCACGTAGAGACCCATAGACTCACACAGAGACCCATAGACTCGCGTAGAGACCCATAGACTCGCACAGAGACCCATAGACTCGCGTAGAGACCCATAGACTCGCGTAGAGACCCATAGACTCACACAGAGACCCATAGACTCACACAGAGACCCATAGACTCACACAGAGACCCATAGACTCACACAGAGACCCATAGACTCACACAGAGACCCATAGACTCACACAGAGACCCATAGACTCACGCAGAGATCCATAGACTCACACAGAGACCCATAGACTCACACAGAGACCCACAGACTCACGCAGAGACCCACAGACTCACACAGAGACCCACAGACTCACGCAGAGACCCATAGACTCACGCAGAGACCCATAGACTCACGCAGAGACCCACAGACTCACACAGAGACGCATAGACTCACGCAGAGACCTATAGACTCACGCAGAGACCCACAGACTCACACAGAGACCCATAGACTCACACAGAGACCCATAGACTCGCGCAGAGACCCACAGATTCACGCAGAGACCCATAGACTCACGTCGAGACCCATAGACTCGCACAGAGACCCATAGACTCACACAGAGACCCATAGACTCACGCAGAGACCCATAGACTCACGCAGAGACCCACAGACTCACACAGAGACCCATAGACTCACACAGAGACTCATAGACTCACACAGAGACCCATAGACTCACGCAGAGACCCATAGACTCACGCAGAGACCCACAGACTCACACAGAGACACATAGACTCACACCGAGACCCATTGACTCACACAGAGAGAGACCCCTAGAGACCTTCTGTTATTGCTGCTGCTGCTGTTGTTGTTGTTCTTGCTGCTGTTGCTGTTGTTGCTGTTGTTGCTGTTGTTGCTGTTGTTGCTGCTGTTGCTGCTGCTGTTCTTGTTGTTCTTGCTGCTGTTGCAGCTGTTGCTGCTGCTGTTGTTGTTGTTGCTGTTGTTGTTGCTGCTGTTGCTGTTGTTACTACTCTTGCTGTCGTTGTTGCTGCTGCTGCTCGTGCTGATACTGCTGCTGTTGCTTCTCTTGTTTGCTGTTGCCGCTGCTACTATTCTTGCTGCTGTTGTTGTGCTGCTGTTGTTGCTTCTGCTGTTGTTGCTGCTGTGGCTGCTGCTGTTGCTGCTGTTGTTGCTGCTGTTGCTGCTGCTGCTGTTGTTGTTGTTGTTGCTGCTGTTGCTGCTGCTGCTGTTGCTGCTGTTGTTGTTGCTGCTGTTGCTGCTGCTGCTACTATCTTGTTGCTGCTACTTTGGCTGTTGCTGCTGCTGCTACTACTCTTGCTGTTGTTGCTGTTGCTGCTGCTGTTGTTGCTGTTGCTGCTACTACTCTTGCTGCTGCTGTTGATGCTGCTGCTGTTGATGCTGCTGCTGTTGCTGCTGCTACTACTCTTGCTGCTGCTGTTGCTGCTGCTACTACTCTTGCTGCTGCTGTTGATGCTGCTGCTGTTGCTGCTGCTACTACTCTTGCTGCTGCTGTTGCTGCTGCTACTACTCCTGCTGCTGCTGTGTTGCTGCTGCTGCTACTACTCTTTCTGCTGTTGCTGCTGCGAGGATGACCACCGGAGTTTGCGCGACACGGGGTTTCACGCTCCTTGACGGAGATCGTCAGCGAGGCGTCGTGGTCCGTGTGCGTCGACGACGACGACCTCACCTTGTCGTCGTTGTGCGTGTGTGTGCAGGTGATAGCGGCCCGCTTGCTGCAGTCCAAGCAGACCATCCCCCACTACTACCTGTCCGTGGACGTGACGATGGACGAGGTGATCGGCTTGCGCAAGGAGCTGAACGAGGTGAGGAGGCCGTCCGTGTCGAGCTCACGAGCGAGTTCGCGTCGTCCGTGTCAATGTGACGACCCGCTCGCACGCTCACTCGCACGCCCGCTCACTCGCACGCACACTCGCACGCTCACTCGCACGCTCACTCGCCGCTCACTCGCACGCTCACTCGCCCGCTCACTCGCACGCTCATCGCCACGCTCACTCGCACGCTCACTCGCCCGCTCACTCGCACGCTCACTCGCCCGCTCACTCGCACGCTCACTCGCCCGCTCACTCGCACGCTCAATCGCACGCTCACTCGCCCGCTCACTCGCACGCTCACTCGCCGCTCACTCGCACGCTCACTCGCCCGCTCACTCGCACGCTCACTCGCCCGCTCACTCGCACGCTCACTCGCCCGCCACTCGCACGCTCACTCGCCGCTCACTCGCCCGCTCACTCGCACGCTCACTCGCCCGCTCACTCGCCCGCTCACTCGCCCGCTCACTCGCCCGCTCACTCGCCCGCTCACTCGCACGCTCACTCGCCCGCTCACTCGCCGCTCACTCGCACGCTCACTCGCCCGCTCACTCGCCCGCTCACTCGCACGCTCACTCGCCCGCTCACTCGCACGCTCACTCGCCGCTCACTCGCCCGCTCACTCGCACGCTCACTCCCGCTCACTCGCCCGCTCACTCGCACGCTCACTCGCTCGCACGCTCACTCGCCCGCTCACTCGCGCTCACTCGCCCGCTCACTCGCGCGCTCACTCGCCCGCTCACTCGCGCGCTCACTCGCCCGCTCACTCGCCCGCTCACTCGCCCGCTCACTCGCGCGCTCACTCGCGCTCACTCGCCCGCTCACTCGCGAGCTCCTCGCCGCTCACTCGCCCGCTCACTCGCCCGCTCATCGCCCGCTCACTCGCGCGCTCACTCGCGCGCTCACTCGCCGCTCACTCGCCCGCTCACTCGCCGCTCACTCGCGCGCTCACTCGCGCGCTCACTCGCCCGCTCACTCGCGCGCTCACTCGCCCGCTCACTCGCGCGCTCACTCGCCCGCTCACTCGCCCGCTCACTCG